TTCAGGGTGATGGACCGAGTCGCGGAATCCGCTTACAGATGCGGTTTCTGCAACAGCGCTATTTTGCTAATCACATATTATAATTTGTTCATGGGTTCCACAAACAGTTGCGGATTCCACAATATAAGCTGCTTTTGGAGCAATTTTTAGCGAAACAGTGTTTTAATTATTCGTTTGTGGAACCCAAAATAGCAACAAAGATCAAAAAAACTTATCAATATTGCGGATTCCGCGACCAATCTTGTTTTGGCCTGTTGATGAATCCGCTTACACAGTTTGGCCTCGTAATGAGCCGCCTCTGATTATCGAGGCCCTCAATTGAGAAAGGACAATTTTCATTTAATTAAGAATAGAGACGCATTCTTTTTTTAATTTCTATTTTTCGAAAAATGTCTCAATTTGAAAAAAAAATTTCTAATCTCAGATGGATAGAAGTTTGTTGTCAAAATTATCACCCTTATTCGCTCTCAAGCACAAAATTATCATCAAATAAATGAAAGACGCCATGAACAGACTTGTTTTGCTTCAGATTAGATTAATGAGAGATGCAGCCTACTCAAGAGCTTAGTATCAACTGAAAAAGCAGCAAAATCAGATGGTAAATTAATGAATTCTTGTGACATTAATCGATCTCTCATCTTAAGAAGTGCTTTTTCTAGATAATATCGGAAAATACTTGCAGTTGTAGTACAATTTAAGATGGTTTTATTATCGATTCAACTTATTCAAAGCTACCAGATTTTAATTAGAGTTTGAAGACAAAAAATGGACTTAAATTAAATAGAGTCGTGTGAAGTTATAGCATAAGAAGTCTCATCTCAATTTCATTTGAAAATTTCGTACCTTATTCAGTTCGTCTCCTGTCAAGTAAAAGATCGACCAAAATATACAAACTATATGAGATGATGACCTGAGCTTAAGGTACACTTTTTCAGCCGCACTACACAACGGTGCTTTGCAAATGCTGTATAATTATAGCTATATAGCATTTTCAAAGCAGCCTTTCCTACTGGCTGAAGAAAGAACCTCAAGATTACAGCTCCAAAACTTCACAAAAAATTAAAGAAAAATCACCTTAACTGAGTTAAGGTACGAAAACTTAAAGTAAATTTTATCTTAACACCTCAAGTTTACCTGAAATTAAAATTAGGTTAATTTTTAACCTAACTAAATTAAAACTGATAGCAGCCCCGGAGACGAAATTTTGATGCACAAAACCTAAAAACTGGATAGCGTCAGAGAACTAGACAAATTTGGGATGCGGAGCACCACTTTCGGTTTACCCTTTGACATCAAATAATTCTAAAAGCACTTGTGCTTTTCATGTCGGCTCTTATCCATTTTCATTCCTTAATGGAATTTCAAATTTGAACAAGACTGCTCGTATCAGAGCAAAACTCTGCATGTTCCGACTGCCTTTTAAGGTTTATGGAGCAGCAATAACATAAATAACATAAGAAAATTAAATATAATAAATTTAAATGAAAAAAAAATTCAAAAATTTGTAATTTTTTCTATGAAAGTTATCCCCCCACACGCCATATAAAGTACAAAAGAATAGATTTTGCTCCTTGTAACAAATCAATTATACAAGTAAGTTTCTTTCAATCAATTTGGAGCGATTTCTGAGACGGATGAAATCTCCGCTTACGCGTTAATAGTGCGAAATATACGCGTTAATAGTGCGGCAATCCTTAAACGCCCACAACTGTACAAAAATGATCACAGGTGAAATATTTTTTTTTTTCAAATTTAAGCTCAAGACAACAATACTTGTGTCCTGAATGCGAAGCCCTGAATTTTCCGACTGCCTTTTAAGGTTTATGGAGCAGTAATAACATTACAAAAGTTAAACATTATAAAATGAAAACTTTTTTTTCTAAAATTGAAATTTTTTAAATGAAAATCATCCCGCCACACGCCATATAAAGTACAAAAAGATAGATTTCGCTCCTCGTAATAAATCAATTGTGACAAATAAGCTTCTTTCAACCTAAGACAGATTTAATCCGTCTTTCAAGCTAAGACGGATTAAATCTAAGACGGATTAAAAAAAGACGGATTAAGAGACTTAATCCGTCTTTCAAGCTAAGACGGATTAAATCTCCGCTTAAGCGTTAATAGCGCGAAATAGTGCTTAGGGTAGAAAAATTCATTGATAGGTAGATAACAATAACTTGAATTCAAGTAAATCAGTTGGTCTAAACAACATTTTATGAATCTTGATACAAAGCTTGTTTCTGGGGCAGGTTATATATATTTTTTTGGACTACTTACCACATCGATAATATTTTTATTGAAATAAAACATAACTGCTCATATCAAGGCGTTTCCTTGAAAAGTGATTTAGGTAGATCACATGGGTTTTTTAGAAACAAACAAGATTGCTCGTATCAGGGCGAAGCCCAGAATGTTCCGACTGCCTTTTAAGGTTTATGGAGCAGCAGTAATAACATAAAAAATGAAATGAAATAAAGTAAAACGAAATTTTTTTCTTCTAAAATTGAAAATTTTTCATAAAAATCATCCCCCCACACGCCATTTAAAGTTCAAAAAGATAAATTTCGTTCCTTGTAACAAATCAATTATGACAAATAAGCTTCGTTCAACCAATTTGGAATGATTTATAAGACAGATTAAATCTCCGCTTACGCGTTAATAGCGCGAATTATATCGCGCGTTAATTGTCCCAAATTGGTCAAAATGGCCAAAATGGCAATCTTCAAACCCTCGTAAATTTACGAAAAATGATCACAGGTGAAATATCTTTTCAAATTTAAGCGCAGGACAACAATGGCTTTCGAATGATATAGAAAAATTCCGTCAAAATGGCTAGTTAAAAAGTCGAAATTTGTCTGAAGAAAAAAAAAACCACCCGAGCACAAATATTCCGTTAATTTCGTATCGAAAGTCGGAACAATATTGAGAAAAGTTTTAATCAGTTCAACGAATTAACTGCATTATGATAAGAAAGCTACTTTGAACGATAAGTTAAGCAATTAACAAAACAAACCATGTAAAATACCAATAGGATATTTAAATTTACGTCTTTGTTCGAATTGCATTTTTCTTACAGCATATAATTTCAAATTAATTCGTGGCTAGGGAAAATATTTTCGTCGATGTGGCAGGAGATCAATAACATAGACCAAAACAGACGTTTATTAAACGTTTGATAAAAGTTAAATTCAATAATTTTTTCAAATATAGGCAATGGACATGGCCTATCTGTTAAAATTTCAATGCTGGAAATTATAATAGTTGGACTTTGCATAGGTTTGATGGCAGCAAAAAAAAGTAGCACAAGCGTGCAAAATTTTTTTTTCTTGTCGTGGGAAGCCATAGTTTTTTTAAGTTTTTTTGCGCGTCCTTTATACAGTGTTGCTTTAGATTAACCGGACACAACGTGCAAATTATTTTGCAAAATTCAGAACGAAAATTTTACCACAAAAACGGGTCATTTTGACTTTCATTTAGATAATCAAGAATAATGCTAAAACTACCCGGTTAATTGATTAGAAAGCTGTATCAGAACCTCTGTAGAAGATTGTTGGTCTGAGCAATAGGCGTCTTCTGATATAGTTTTCTAGTCAATTAACCCGGTAATTTCAGCTTAATTCCTGATTAGAAAATTAAAGTCAAATTTTCTCATTTTTGGCGTAAAATTTTGTTTTTATAAAAATTTGATGTGAATTGATGTGAATTGAAGAAATGATGATATTTTTGCTGTAACTTTGAACAATTTTTGTTCCCTTGATTTTTTTGTCTAAATTTAACAAAATCCGAGAAAAACGCGTCAGAAGTTTCAAGCTTTCCAGATTTTGTTTGGATAATTTGAGTCAACAGTGTATCTGTGGAATAATTTTTGGCAGAAATTTTTTAAAAATTGAAAAATGAGAAAAGTTGAAAAAAAAAACTGAGAAAATTTGAATTTTTTTTAAAACAATTTCCCTACGTGCTGTAAAAACAAATATATGTATTTAGCATCAAGCAAAATGTAAGGAAGTCAAAAAAGATTGCCTCAGGACACTTAAAATAACATGTTTGCGGGAATAACCATAATTGCTCGTTGAAAAAAAAACTACCCTTTAATTTTCCCACATAGGACAAACTTGACTTCAAACTCCCCTATAAATGTTTGAAAAAAGATCACGAAACTCAAGACGTCAAAATTTTAAGATGAGCCGCATTTACATGACTAGTTGAAAAATTGAAGTTTTTCTGCAGAAATAAATGACAGGTAGCACAAATATTTCATTCTTTTTTTGTATGTCGGAATCATTAGAAAGGCAAGAAATGATCAAATTTTCAATAATCAAGATACAGCATAAACATTTGTGTTCAGGTATGGTTCCAAGAAACATGTTATCGGTGTTGATTTTTTTTTTCAGTTACTCACGTATTGAGCTCAAAGGTATAAATAAAGATATATATAAATAGCAACCAATTTTCTGAATTTATGGGGTTTGAAAATGGGCAAATTCGGGATAATTAAGGTGCGATAAATTCGTGCGATCAACGCGGTAATTAAAAACGCTCAAGGCTGACTTTGGCGAACTATTTGAATTATTACCTTACTAGACACTAATTACATCACTCTGTACATAAAATAGTGTGTGGGGGGAAAACTTCACTGAATTTTTTTTCTTTTTTAGTCATTTTACCAAACTTTTTTTTTGAAAAAGATTTATCAAAAATTATTGCATAGATCTTCAGCATTACCAAAAGTATTCAGAGTATCGCTGTTATTTGTGTAATTTTTTGTGGAGTTTGTATCTCTTTTAGATAACTAATTTCTTCTCAGAATTATTGTCGGTTCAAATTTCAAATTAAGATAAAAGTATTGTTACTTTTTTGGACATTTTAGCTGAAAATCAGCTGAAAAGTTCAAAGTTCGAAAACTGATAAAAATGGGTCGCACGTAGCAAACGAATTGTTGCATAAAAATGTTAATTTTTTTTTTGTAAAAAATCATTTTTTTATACACGCATTAGGTCAACAGTAGTTTGGCTTGATTAAACATGCGACAAACAGAAATTCAAATTTTTTCAGTTCAGAATCATCGCTACAGTTTTTACAAGTTTTTAGCCATCTGTTCAAACGACGAGATTTTTACATTTATTGCCGCAAATTTTTCACTAAGCTAAGTCTTCGTCATAATGAAAACATGCTATATCAAGGATAAAATTTGAGATTCGTTTCCACATGATCTTCATTTCAGCGCAGAACGTCTTGTGCATAATGGCATACACGAAAGGGTTCGAGACTGTGTTCAGCAACGAAAGCATGTACGCCACAATGTAGATGTCGGACATTGTCGAACTCTTAGACAAGGTCGGAATTGCGTGAAAGAGAAGCTGAAAAAAAAACGAGATTTCACAACTCACATCAAAATTTAACTTGACTAGTAGTGAAACAAAAAGTAAGCTCGGAGAAAATAGAATAAAATCGAAAACCAACAAGGCTGCCCGTATCATGGCGAAGCCCTGAAGGTTCCGACTGCCTTTTGAGGTCTATGGAGCATTAATAACATGCAAAATTTCAATGTAATATAAAAAATAAAAATAAAATTTTTGGAAAAAATTTGAGGTTTTATGTAAAAACATCCCCCCAAACGTCATATTAAGTACAAGTGATAAATTTTGCGGCTATTAACAAATCAATTATGGCAATAAAGCATCCTTGAACCAATTTGGAACGATTTCTAAGACGGATTAAATCTCGCTTACGCGTTAATAGCGCGAAATTTATCGCGCGTTAATTGTTAAATTGGCCAAAATGGCAATCTTTAAACCCCCATAACTTTACGAAAAATGATCACAGGTGAAATCTCTTTTCAAATTCAAGCTCAGGACAACAATACCTTTCGAATGATATAAAAAAATTCCGTCAAAAATGGCTAGTTAAAAAGTCGAAATTAGTCTGAAGAAAAAAAAAACCCACCCCGAGCACAAATATTCCGTTTCTTTCGTACCGAAAGTCGGAACAATAATATCATTCAAGCGTTGCCGTTGCGGAAACATTAAAAGCAGATGCGGATGCAAAAACGAAGAACTGACATCGTAACATTTATCATCAATTATGTTGTTATTTGTAGGCAATAGTATATACTTTTTTCTGGTTGTTCGTATAAAAATTGTTTTATTCATGGGAAATTGACCGTCTCGTCTTCGAATGGTTCTGGTCTAGCAATCGGTAAAAATCATTGCAAGTCGGAGGTCACAAAAAACTTGTTGGCTGTCATGTTGCACTGCTTTCATTGGGCTAAGTTTCGGCCTCAATTTGCAAGAAAAAATAAACATAAATTGGGTCGCTAAATTGGTGTGGGTCAATAGATACCTATGAAAAAACATTTGTTGATCTAAGATGGCTTCTGTTGTCGTGAAGTGTCGATTTAATTGTTTTATCGTTAATTTATCTTACTGTTCCACGCAGTGTTTGCGCTTATTGGTTGAGATCACTAATACTGGCTTAAATTGGCCGTTGTTATAGTAAGTCGATATACTCTGCTTGAGTTTTGTCGCCGATGATATAGGCAACTTGGTAGCTGATCAGTTTGTGATATATGCTCTCGCGGCAAGCAGAATCATTGAAGTTTGTTTCAATTTTTCGTCACAGAGAGTATTGGAACCTGATTTAAACTACATTTTATTATTGGATAAATTAGATATTTTACCAATGTAAAGTATTTAATATTAACCAATCATAATCCATCCAACTAACAACCCACTTATTTGTAAGTGCTGAAATTACTTGTAATTTCAACACCAGAGATATTTGAATTTAACTTAGAAATTAGTTGCCTCTCCAAGAGAACTTCAGCAATCGCAATAAGCCAGTATACTCTAGATCTATTGAGCCTAGCAGAGACTAGTTAAACACCCTGAGACTAGTAGATATAAGAGTAGGACTAGGATCGGTATTAGACTAAGAAGTTGCACGAATCTATCCGGCCGAAAATAAGATAGCGTGACGAGCAGTCGGTGTACCCTATCCGAAATTACTCTATGAGTTAACTACCATACACATTAACTCATCTGGTGAGACCATAAGTCTCGAATAAGACCTTAATAGCTTAGAACTAACCAAAAATAGATTAGAAATTAGACAAAACATTTTCAAAATGTTATACGATAATAACTTAATTGAAATGTCTCTACGACTCAATAGATCAGAGCCGATATTTCGCACAATACTAGAACTACCTGGTATTGGAAGAAGACCTCGAACAAGAGACGATATACGACAAAGTAGAAACTTACCATTTAGTTTTATGGTTGTACGGCAAAAGCCAACACAAACTTTTATATTTAGAATCTTATTAGCAACGAATTTAGATTTTCATTTGCAAACATAAAATTTTGAAGTAAATCTTCATGATCATTTCAGGCGCTAAACAAAATTATTGATGTACAATAACGATTGATAAAAAGTTCTCAGATCGTTTTCTTAATTCTGCAGTATTATATAAAACATATTTGAAAAATATTTACTGAAATAAAAATAAAAATTAGTAGCATGACAATAATTGTTAGTAATCATGAATCATCCTGTTGTTCCAGCTTCATCACCTAAACATAACAGCAATCATAAACTCACTAATATCATTAAAAAACTAAATCTTTTTTTAAATATATTTAAACAATTTTAAACTTAAATTCACTTAATTTTAAATATCAGATCATCAAGGCTTATCCTTGGATCTTAATAAACTTTCTATTTCACTGATTTTAAAATCTGATCATCAAGGCCTTTCCTTGGATCGAAAAGAACAATTTTGTTCTCCCTCGCCCACTTAGAAAGTGTCTAACGACTTCAAACGTCGATTCACTATCCAACTTTTTCAAAAGACCCAGGACTAATAGAAATTTTTCATAAAACTAACCATTCAAATTAAGATAAACAGTGAAGAGTTTCGGTCATTCATCCTTCACTTGAACCCTCCTCTTAACAAACCCAGGATAGATCTTAGACTTAGTAAGTTTAAAATAGTATCTAACGAACTACTAGCGTTCTAATTATACCTGAACCTTGTGGATTGATTACTATTCTCCAACCCTTGAACACAATCACTACCCCTAAGTAGGATTATGTAAGTTAACACCTTAACTTAGACTAGCCACGAGAAAGTAGAAAAATCATTCTTCGGAATCGATATACTTTTCTCTCCAACCTTGAACAAAAAGACCCAGGTTAAGCTAACCAAAAAATCGTAAGGACTAACAGTCTAAGAAAATAGAAATAACTAATAAACTTCTTGCATCCCTCATCCTAAACCTAATGCCATTCAAAAATTTAGGAAACAAACAAACAATCTGTTTACACAACTGTGAAATAGATTTAAAAAACGATCTTGTAATCACCCCACATACACAAACAGTTGGATACATTCGAACAAAACGACAAACAATAAAAAGGAAAATTATAAACAAACAAAGACAAATCACACGAAAAAGATTTTCGAGAAATAGAAACGCATTTTCTGAATCAGAAGCCAACAGTTTAGACGAACTATACAAACTAAAAGAATTAATAGATAAAAATTGTCCCATCCTTGATCAATTATATTTTTCCGACTCAGAAACAACTTCAAATTCATCAAAAAGAGGAAAAAGAAGAATAAAAAAGCAATACAAAAACACAAACCAGTACACTTGTATAATTGGAATCAACCAACTAGACACATCGATAGCTATATATTAACAGTCATAAAACGAACAAATGAGCCACACTCAAAGTGACGACAGTCCAGATGACGAAGCAGTTTTTCCCTTTCTTATAGATTCACTCGATGATAGAGGACAACATGATTTTTGCAAGAACTTATTCGTAAATTTATTTGAACCAGGAATCAGCCCATGCAAAGCAGAATTCCCAGATGTAAAAATCTAAAGACAAATTATTGAACATTATTTAAAAGACATATGTAATCTAACACAACAATATGGAATCTACACCATAGAATATAGCACATCAAATACAGCCCACCGTAAATATGTAATTCAAACAGACCATATTGAATTGGAATTTTCAAAAGTATTCATAGAATATATCAAAAGCATACAATATCATAATTCACAAAGAGCTAACTCCATATTCACTAACGAAATTTTTGCAACTATATATAGTTATATTTCTATATTAGAAAAAAACAGAAGTTCAAAGTATATCACCAACTGAAACATCCAAACATACAAAAGTACAAAATGAAATCACAATATTTTCGACATTTCTACATATAATCCGTGAAAATTTCACTAAGGAAGATGTTTCACAAAACACTAAACATGGTTTATAATAGATTATTTCACCCACAATTTAGATTTAATTTCACAAGCAAGAAAAATTTTCGACCTCGAAATCCCAATGATGACACTGCCCTTTCAGAACAATCAGATTACGTTTGGGACCCTGAATGGTCTCATTATGCATTTCTAAATATCCCACAAGCTATCTCAAGTCAAGCAATAAGTACAATATCTTATCATAAAGATTACGTAAAAGTAGTACCATTAACCATTGATGCAACACCATTAAATTATAATACATTTTTACCTGATACACGAAATAACAGTTTAAATTCGACGGTCATCCATAATGAAAATCTCAATGGAACCAGAAATCTTACGCAACAAGACATTCAAACACCATCACACTTCATTAACGAGGAAATCGTCCAAACAACAACAACAACTACACAACAAAGTATTTCACCAATACACCCCAATCTGACAACACCAAGAAATACAAATACATCACTAACACAGGTAACCTTACAATCAACCGTTAAACCCTCGGTTGCTCCAAAATATTCACATATGGACTATCAGACGTATAGACCGATGACAATACCGTCAAAAACACGAAAACCGTTCACAAGAAATACTTTTGCAGAACACAATTATAATTATGCTCACAAACCAAGAACAAACCAACCCCCCCGAAAAAAAACACAAAATTTAAACCATGTATGTTCCCATCATTGGAATCTCCCAAAAACATCGACCAATTCAGTAAAATTTCCAGAAAATCCACAACCTACACAGGATTATAGTAAAAATTACCCATTCTTTCAACAAAATAAAAATAAACAACATACCCCATATAATACAAACTATTTATCATCTGAAGAAGATGATTATCACCAACCAGATATTTTTGCACCATACACTAAAGAATATCGCACACAAAGACCACGACAAACTCAACCATCCCAGAATATGAAAATTTACCCACAAAACCCAATAGATATACAAAACCCACAACAAACGCATATAAAAAATCCATTTAATACACAACCTTTCCAACCAATACAATCACAAAACCCAATGTTAATGCATTCTTATTAATCAACTCA